GGAACGAAACAAGACTTGGAAGAGGGAGTGTTGTGCAGGCATAGGGTTGGGAGGTATTTGATGGTATTAGAGAGATTGATTTTTGTTCCTGGACCTGTTAAACTTGAAGTGACAAAGAAATGTCCACCTGTAAGTTGCAATTATCATTGTGGAGACAGTGAGGAAAAGGTTAGAGCCAGAGATAGGTTTGTGAGTAATTTCCAAAGAGGACATTGTCAAAGCCAAGAAAAAAAAAAGGATAGTAGAGTGAAATCCTTAAATGAGACTCAGTAGGGGAGTGTATCTTAATGAATAAAACATAAAAGTTATTCAGAGTAAATAGTGCAGAATACATGGAAATAATCTAAATTTATCATTCAATATTAGAGCTTCTAATATATTTTTAGAAAAGGCTATATATCATTTTCAAGAAACCCACATAACAAAGTTGGAAATAAAAAAGATAATGGAAATTTACTTTTTCAGAAAAGTCTGAAAAAGAAGCTGATATAAATGTATTAACATCAGATGAACTGAAAAGCAATTGTCGGGAATAAATAAGGTTGTTGAATAATGATAGAAATATAACTCACTGGAATAAGGCTAGTTTTAAAAGTTTATGAACTTCATAGCAATCTCAAAATACATAAAGGAAAAAACTGGACAGAATTTCAAGGAGACGTCTCCTACTGTGGAAAACTTTAAAATCTCTTAAAAAATGACACAAAAAGAGATTGAGAACAAAGCTTCAGGTAGTGTCAACATTTATGGGTGAAAGCAGCCAGAAAGGGCAAGAAAAAGGGAGGAAAAGGAAGCTGAAGGGCCCAGTGTCCCTGCATCTGTAGGGAGGCGGAAGATGAAGATAGAACTCAATGCAGAGGGAAGAGTGAAGAGGGCTACTGCTCAAAACCACAGATTTTTAGGGAAAGATCACAGAGGAAGTGTTAAGTGATGGGATATGTAGCCCAAGTTTTAAGAATAATCTTAGAAAAAGGATACTAGTTTTTTTGATACCAGATTGAATAAATAAAGCATCAGTCAAGATCCCATATGGAGGGGAAGGGCGTGGGGGGGGGGAAGCTTAAATATACAGCCCTTGCTTTCTTTAAAGGATAAGTCTTCTGTTGAATATTAAGGGCATAAATTAATAATTTTTTGGTTTCTGTACTGGGGGGGGACACAAGCAATCTGACAAACGGACTTTAAAATTTATGAGTGGGGGCTAAAATAGCTGGCAATCCTAGAGAAAAACAACTGGCAGGGTGACTTTTCCTACCATACATCAGGGCTTATTATAGAGCTATGCTGATTAGGAAAGTCCAAAAGACTCAGGTAGGTATGGAAACTGGATTATGACAGAGTGGGCATTATGTGATGTAAGGTTGGACCAATGAGTGGGAAATGCAGGGTGAATTAGTCATCCTTACTTCGTATTATATACAGAAAGCCAATTCTAGATTGGTTGTACATTTCATGTGAAAGATGAAACTAGATACATGGTTTAGAAGAAACTATAGGGCATCTTTTTGTCATTGAGATAAGAGTTTATTAAGAGGCAAAAAGTTCAAAACACAAAAGGCTGATAAACGATTTCTCAACTTAAATGGAAATTTATCAAACTACAAATATAGTGAATAGAAAAGTCTTAAACAGGAAAAGCTAACCAGCACAGGGCGAGCATTTAAAATATATTAAAAATGTGGGTGTGGTTTAAAACTGCAACATAAAAGACTTGGAACAACTGTTGGGAAAGAGAGTGGCTATGAATTAAAGACAAACACAAGGATTGCTCTACGTTATTGAAGGCCTGGGAGAATGAGAACCAAATGGTTCGGCTTTGTGGGTGGTATAGAGAAGCACTGGGACAGAGCAGAGGGCCACACAGGTGTGAGAACCTAGGGTAGAAATACATAGTATGTACTCTCAAGGCACAGGGAAATAAATGAAAGATGCAGTCTAGGCATACTTCCACATGGATTACTTGGGCATTTGGTCTTAGGCTAATGAATTATAGGGAGGCTTGGCATTCAAGGTCAGGTTCAATATCAAGGAAGCAACAGTGTGGGGGCAGGGACAAGTAGGGCAGTTGTGTTTGGAGGAAGAAGTAGGTTTCAAAGCATTGGGTTTTGGAACAGCATCAGCTTTGAGTAAGTTCTAGATTTGACTGGGAGGTGATGGAAAGGTGAATAGCACCATATCCTGGGAGGTCTAGGGGAGGAGAGTCATTATAAATTATTGGCTTGGAAATGGAGGTGGTGAAGTAGCAGCTGGGCCACTGCTGTCTGTCACTGTGACTTTTTGAGGGCTATACGTATTATGGGGCTTGCAATGCTCAGTGGGTCCTTCTCCACTGTAGGGTATCAAAAGGAAATTTTTTACCTCCATATGGGGCTGGTAGGTTGGCAATAGTGATGGGGGAAGAGTTCTGCAGCAGCTCAGAGGGTAGGCAGGAGCCCTGGGAGGCAGCAACAGGAGGAGAAGCTGGCACCAGCCTCTGGAAGGAGGAGGTTTCTATATATAGAATCAGCCTCAAGGAGGGGATGGCCACTTGGGTACTCTTTTCCTGTTTTTGCTCTTCTTTATGGCCAGATGACTCTTGAGGAAGAAGGGCAGTGGGGGATGATTATTAAAGTCTGAACTCTTAAATATGTTCTCAGATTAATATGCTGTTGTGGACAGTTTTTCTTTTTGTATGCAAATAAGTTGATGGAATTATCCCACAGGGTGGCTTCTGGGAGGATACATCTGTTGACAGCTTTTGAGTAAACAGGAGAAATTAATTTCTTCAAAACTGTGAAGTGAGGAGAAAGTATAGCAACATCTCCATGTGGTGATGTCGTGAGGGGTGGCCTCACCTGCCTGGACACCTCAAAGGACCCTCAAGGCATATTTTCCATGAGACCATACTGGCTTGAGACCCATGTGACATAAGCTAAATTCTTAATGTGGGTCTTTTCTATGCAAGTTCATTGGAGTCTGGCAGGAGAAAGAAACCACATAAGCCTTAAAATCAAACCCCTTAACTGAACTTGGCAAATATTAGATTGGGCTCAGAATATTATAGCCCAAGCAGTTTGTAAAGGGAATCAATGGAAACTTGACAAATATATGAAAGAGGAATTTCACTATGTAATGCTTTGTTTTGTGTTATGTGCTATGCAGCCTGGTGAGTGGATAACACTGTAATAAGGCAGTTCTATCTCTCCTTTTCCTGGCTGTGTATGCATTTCCTCACCTCTAAATGTCTCTGCAAGATAAGGAAAAAATGGCTACCTCATATCCACTTTATTTGTAGAACATCTAGTCCTGTCCAGGCACATAAATAGCCCCTCAGAAATGGAAGTTATTTTAATTACAGTTATAATCTTAAAAACCCTAACGTTTCTGCCTAGATGTGAATAGAAGATGACTTACTGCCTGATCAGGATGCATTTACTTAGCCTGGAGTGAGGACTATTTCACATTTCTTATAATGAACAACTTGGATTACAATGCAGCTGACCTTTGTAGCAGAGATCACGATTAAGCAACACAACAGTTATCAGGCAGGATCTTGCAGAACAGTCCCATGAGCTACCCAGAGAAGTCCATTTAGCTTCATTTGGTTTTATGACCTCCAGTAGGTTCCTAGAATTTTACTAGAATTGCCTTTCTGGGAAATTTGCAGGACTGCAATATATAGCTCTGGTAAGTTTTTACAGTGAGCTTTGGCCTCAATATTGGAAAATCATCAGTACTCAAGAAAATCCATACTGTGGCTTGTGGAAGCTCAAGTTTTCGGCACCTCCTTCTTGGGAGGAAGCAAGTGAGCTGAGATGTGGAGAGAACTGAATTTGAGATGGGAGGATGCTGCGCATGGGTGGCACTGTCAGGGATGGTAGAGGCTCTATGGGAAAAGAGCAGTCAGTCAGGTTTGGTCAGTCAGTCTGTCTGTCTGTGTGTGTGTGTGTGTGTATCTGTGGTGGCCAGGCTATGGATAATCAAGATCAGACAAGCCCCATTCTCTCCCCATTTGGACCAGACATGCCCCATTTTCTCCCCATTTGGTTTCCTCCCAAACCCGGAAGCTGACAGAAGACTTCTCACAAAGGCTGTGTGGATCCTTTCCAGAGATGCCTCTTGCTTAATATAATCAATTCTTCTTTAAAATGTTTTGCTACCACTGTCACCAGGTGGACTCAAATGACCTTTGAAAATAGTCTTTGCAAACTGAGGCCTGATGGGAACTGATGGGAATATACTCAAGAGGCGATTCACTACATTGGCCTCAATGAGACAATTTCAAAAAAAAAAAAAAAAATACTGCTGTTTTTGAGTCCTAGCTTCTCATTTACTAATCAAATGAGTCCGTGTTTCCTCATCTGTAAGGTAAAGGCAATAATCATACCTCTCTGATCAGGACAAAGATGGACGAGTTAGTAGATGTCTGGCACCTGCCTGGCATATAGCAAGTGTTAAATGTTTGCTCATGTTATTTCTGTTTACTCTAACCAGAGGGTCTCTCCTTATACCACATTTGTTAGACATTTTTCTGATGTAAAAAATGTTTCAATAGCTACTAGATGACATTTCAGAAACTGCATACAGATATTACTAGCATTTCTTCATTTTCCACCATGATGGATTAGCAGATTAGTTTGGATGCTGTCACTAAAGATATTTGCCCCAAAGGACTATGAATGACTTGCTACTTACCAACAAGTGAAACCCCAAACCCAAGAAAGGATCAACTTGAGCATTTCCCAGGAGGAAACCTATTTTTGCTCAATTCATTTGGTTAAGGCAGTTGGAAGCATTCAGATGAGCTCTAAAAGGAAATTATGCTAAAATCCTGCTGCACATGCTTCATTAAATCCAAGGCTGAAAGACTTGTGTCTTTGCTATTTAGGTGAGGAAACTTGTGGGACCAGTGAGCCTGAGGAGGGTTGTAAGCTCGACCAGGGGGAAAAAATGGTGCATGATTCAAGAAAATATTTGGGTCACATGGAGAAGGCCTCTGCCACCCATGGGGAATTACATACCAATTCCTTCTTTTTCATGCACTCCATGAGGATGATGAACAGATGCTGAGCTTGGGTTCGGGTGTATGTGAAAGTCTTCTGTATAGTCACCAGTAGCTGGTCCCTCAAAGATTCATTTATAAGTCTGCAATAGAAACCAATGTCAAATAGGTCAATCCAGCTCCTCTTTGATATACATTTCTTTTGAAAATTTATTTTTAATTGACACATAATCATACATAGTTATGGGGCATGGTGTGATATTTCAAAACCTGATACATTGTATAATAATTAAACCATAATATTTAGCATATCCAGCATTTCATACAATTAGCATTTCTTTGTGGTAATACTTAAAATCTTCTCTTTAGCTATTTTGAAATATCCAGTACAATTATTGTTAACCATAGTGACCCTAGAATGTAATGGAAATGTTATAGAACACAAGAAAGCACTATGAGGAATTTAGATAATTAGATTGTCTTCCTGTATTATTCTCAAAATAGTTACTTCAATTGAGATAATTTAAAAAGAGTACATTTAAAAATAAATCCCTTTTAATGTTTCAGAACCTAACAGAGTAAAGCAGGAAGATTGATTTCATTTTGTTGTTGTTGCTCTTTTCCTTTTATCCCCCCATATGGCATGTGTTTAATGTCCTCTTCCTCAAATCGTCATCAGAAAATACTTTCAAATTAATAATCTGTATCTTGGTAAAAATTGACAATATCACTTCCCTGTAAATTGCAAAGTTGTCTCTAATTGTGCAAAGAAAAGTTATATCAATCATGAATTTTTGAGCATCAATAAGCAGAAAGAGCATTTATGTTTCCTTAAAAAACAAAGCATACAGGTGGTAGCCTATCCAGCTTATGATTCAGGTCATCACTCTTTACATCAAGTTTTTGCTATGTTGCAGTGAACAAAAGTCTGATCCATAAGAAGGTATCATATTGGCTATTTTATTAAAAGATGGTTTTTCTATAGAGTAATGAATGAAAGTAGGGGAGATGCATCACATCAATCAACACACAGTTACGTTTGAATATGTATCAGTCACAACTAATTTTTAACTCCTCTCTCACTAGCTTGATGAGAAATGGAGCCATCAAATAGCAGGGAATGAAAGCTCATTTTGTTATTAACAGACACTGTTCAAAAGCAAAAGGATCAAAGTTCTCTCAAGGACCAGTGGAACATTTTCCATAATTTGTCCAGTATTTTACAACCTGCACATTGCCTATATTATTGAAGTATCAGCAACTCTTAGATAAAATAGTAAATGATAAGACCCTAATAGACAACAGATTTGTTCAATTCTAAAGCCAGGGCATTTAGCTAGTAGGATCCAAATGTTTAGGGTCACACAGCAAATAAGTGGCAGAGTCAGAACCAGGACCTAGTTTTCAGAACAAGAACTGCTTTTCTGACTCTTTGGCCAGTGCTCCCGCCATCCTACCATGCTGCCTCTTTTTGCCCCAAGTGTATCACATGTCTTCCTCTATTCACTACTGTGGCTACTGGAGTAGATAGTTGTGGGATTTCCTTCAACATGAAAGTAAGACTTATTTTTATTGCTTAAGAGAAAGCAAGATACTTTAGAATGTTGTCTTTTGAGTGCCCTGCTGTGCTCTGGCTTGTGTGGGGTTTATCTGAGCCCACTAGGTTGGATATTACAGTGGTCTTATTTTGAAAAGGATAGCATCCCCCAGGATGGAACCACACCCAGGACCTTCAAAGTCACTCAAATGGATGGAAGATTGAGTTCCCCCTTTACCCTTCCTTCTCCATAAAGATCCAAATGAATATTTAGAAAAAGAGAATGGTCCAGATGGTGTTGGGCGGGGAAATGATACCAAATCTTCTCTCAAGATTTTCTAGGTTATTCTAGTTGGCTCTACTGTTATCTCTTCATTAGCAGATGAATGGCGAATGTCTACTTAGTGCCAGACACTGTAGTATATGCCGAGACACAGGGATAGAAAAGATATATACACTTCCCACTTCAGGGAGTTATGTGCCAGTAGAATATAATGACATTCACCAGCAATTCAACTGCAGTCTCAGTGTTCAAGAAGTAGAGAAGATTATGACAGATAATCTGAGGGGTTCAAGGAAGACTTCTCTGAGAAAGTGCTATTTCACCTGAGACTTGAAGGATGAGCATTCACAGGATTAGAGGTGATGCAGCTGCGAAAGAGTAGATGAATGTGGTATGAACAGGCCTCTTTTTGGAGAAGATAAAAGGAAGTTAGTATGACTGGAGTATGGAGAGTATCATACTTTGGATCCTGAAAGTCCTCCAAAGGCTCATGTGGTGATGGCTTGGCCTCCATATTGGTGCCATTGGGAGAGGGTGGAAGCTTCAAGAACTGGGGTCTATTGGAGGTTTTGAGTCACTGGGGGTGTACCCTTGAAAGTGATATTCAGGCCTCTTCTGCTCTTTATTTTACATTCTGAAATGCCAAACAGTTTGCCCTGCCTCATGTTCTCACTATATAATGTGCTGCCACATGAACAAATAATGGAGCCAATGGGTCACTGACTGTTATGGTTTGGATGTGAGGTGTCCCCCAAAAGCTCACATGTGAGACGATGCAAGAATGTTTGGAGGAGAAATGATTGGGTTATAACCTTAACCCAATCAGCAAACTAATCCTTGATGGGATTAACTAGGTGGTAACTGGAGACAGGTGGGGTGCAACTAGAAGAAGTGGTTCATTGGGGGCATGACTATGGGGTATATATTTTGTATCTGGAGAGTGGAGTCTCTCTTTCTCTGCTTCTGATCATACTGTAAGCTGGTTCCCTCTGCCACACCCTTCTACCATAATATCCTGCCTCACCCCAAGCCAGGAAGAATGGAGCCTGCTGTCTATGGATTGAGACCTCTCAAAGCGTGAGCTCCTGAATGAACTTTTCCTCTTCTACAATTGTGTAGTTCGGGTCTTTCAGTCACAGCAGTGAAAAAGCTGACTGAAACACCAAACTGAAACCTCTGAACGTGAGCCAAAATAAATCTTTTATTTCTACCTTTTATTTATATGGTGATTATCCCAGGTTTTTATTACAGCAAGGAAAATCTGATTAAAGAGAGAAAATTAGAAAAACAGGATGGGGCTCCAAAGAGGGTGAGCAGCCCCATTTCATGGAGAAGATCAAGGGGGAAATCATGTTAAAGCTTTAGGGTTTTATCCCCAAGGCAATTGAGAAGCCATTGAAGCATTTAAGGAAAGTGACACAATCACATTTGTGTTGCCAATTAATTTTCTTGAAGAGCACTCATACCTGGGCATATATCTACTTGACAGGAAATCCAAGTGAATGTGTTTAGAGAGTTCTGCAGTGTTAAGTGTGTGTAAGTGTTGTACATGATTAGCGACAGAAGGGACTCCCCTGATTAGACACTTGATAGGTCTGATCATTCATCTGCAGGTCTTTAATTTTTATTACAATTCAAAATTTGTTTTCCATTGCTAACCATCTGTAATAAAATTCAAATTCCCTGAGGTCATTAACTGTTTGAGAGTTCTGCCTGTCATTTGCATTGTCTGCCACTTTGTAAAAAATTGAGGAATTATGTGCAGTTAAGCTAGTTTAGGTTTTTACTGATTAGGAGAGCTTGAAGACATGAAAAATCTTATACTGATGAGCCCAGTTTCACAACTGGCTGAGGTTACATCTTTGGATAAATCACTTAGCAACAAGGACCACAGAATGCAAGAAGTATGCTGGTCTTTCCCAAAGAGGAAACACCTATTTCTGATAGAACAAAAATGATATGACAAAGAACAAAAGTGTTTTGGTCTATCCAAAGCATTATGTAGTATTCATTAAATGGCAAATAACCAGTATTCCTGGTTCAATCCTTTCTCCATCCTTCTAATTGCATCAGGAAGAAAACATCATTTTGGTGTCATTTTGCTTTAACAGCTCCCTAATATTTCAAATTTCCCCCTTAACAAAGAAATGATAGATATTACACCTCATGCCTTTGACAAACATTTAATAAACTTGTTTTAAATAAGATTACATACAACATTTCCTGAAACCATAGTATGTCATGGTTTGCAGGGTGCAATGCTAGATAACGCTCATAACAATGTTGTGAGGCAAGAAGTTGTGAGTTCCACTTGGTGGAATAGGAGACCTCCCTAAAGGAGGTTAAATGATTTGTGTTACATCTCAGAGCTTGATGACCTCCATGTTGAGTTGAATCTATTTAATGTTGTCTCCATGATGCTGCCTTTCCTATGTATTCTCTCAGTGTGTCCTTAGCTTATTAACGATCTGCATTACAGGTAAAAATTTAAGCTTATTTGTCTGTAGGAAAATGCTTTTCCTTTCTGTATAACACATATGTTGTGTTCAGAGAACATTTGAAGGTGATCAGACAAGTCTAGGGAAGATAAGGGGAAATTGGTAAACTATGACCACAGCGAAGAGCATTTGATAGTTTGAAGATTGCTTCTCACCTTTTTTTTTTTTTAAATAAGTCTTTGCTAAGTTGGATATTTTCTGCTTGGTACAAAGATTTATATTCTATCTTCCTCATAAACCCTCTCTTTTGTGGTCATATTCCTTAGGATTTTGGAAGGTATGTGTGTGTTGCTGGGGATTAAACTGAGGAGCACTTTGTCACTGAGCTATACCCCCAGGTCTTTTTCTTTCTTTGAGATAGGGTCTTGCTAAATTACCAAGGCTGGTCTTGAACCTGTGATTGCCCTGCCTCAGTCTCTTAAATCTTCTGGGATTACAGGTGTGTGCACGCCACTGTGGCTGAGAGCCTGCTTTAAATGATTGTTTTTCTAGCTCTTCCAACTTTTCTTCTGTATGACATTGGAGTAATTTAAGAATGTTGACTGTGATATTTAATCAGCAGCAAAATTAGAGATAAGCCCATTTTAGATTTCTTTTTATGGCACTGGAATAGTGATTGAAAATTTCTTCACATCCAAACATGGTTGTAGTATTATATGAAACTTCACTTTTAGGATTGGCTCTTTGACAAAAGTGGTATTATTTATGGAAACTGTTAATTTGTGACTCCATATGTACCAATGTTATTTTTGGTACACCTAAAATTAGAGTGCTTTGTGATAAGAAGTATAATCATTTAAGTGAAGAAAATGTCTTTACTATAGC